CTTGAGATATAGTAGGTTTCAAAGGTAGGCGTTTGGAGGGAGAAGCCTTGAACATTTCCCAGACTGAAAAAGGTAGAGATGGAAAGTACAACAGAGGGAAGGGGTGCCCGGTGGAGCAGCCAGGGGCCAGGGGCTGGGCTCAGGGCACAGGCGTAGCCAGAGACAGGGTCACACAGAGGTCTAACTGCCTGCTTGTGCAATGGGTGAGCGATGAGAACGGGGGATGTAGCTCACGTCTGAAGTTAAAGGAGAATTGAAGGGGCTGATCTTGGACCTGCTCTGACCTTGTGCAAAGAAGAAGGGACCCGAGGTGACTTGCATGGGCCTGAACACAGAGCTTTTGAACAGCTTCAGCCTACAGAGTTCCTGCAGCCGTGGGCAGCGAGCGGGTTATCTAGCGGGATTTAGGGCCGTGTTGACTTGGTGAGTGGATCGGTTTGCTTGGGTGCTCTCAGGGATATTTGCTTAGCCATCCGTTTGTTAGCTGAGATTTAGAAGTAAACATTGGATGTGTAGGTTTGCTTGCTTGTGTGTCCTGACCTCCCCGGCAGATCTGAAGGCAGCGGGTGTGCAGTCCCACCTCGGCAGAGGCCCTGCCTGTCCAGTAGAGGCAGCCGCTAACACCCTTGGTCAGCCCCGTCTTCCTGGCATCGTTAACCTCAGATTCATGCATGAGTGCTGTTGGCATGCTTCGGGGAACTGCTTAATGGCCTGCATTAGGTCTGAAATGAGGATGACTGAGTTGTTTGTTTTGTTTTACTAGAGTTGGACAAGTTCTAACCATCAAAGCCAAGGTCACTAGAGCGTTCAGCACAAGCATGGAGGTAAGAGGCGCCTTTCCGCCAGCTCTTCATTGCTCACCAAGGCCCCGGGGGCCCTGGGGTGGGTATCTGCGGTTAATGTGACTGTGGATTTTGCCAGACCCTTGAATGTGTAGTCAGGCTCAGGGCGAACAGAGGGAGCCGGTTCTGGACACGGCTACTCAGATGCCACGTGAGGCAATGCACTATCTTTACATCTGAAAGCTCATGGAAGACAGAATTAAAAGATAGATTTATTTGGTACCAACAAGTTTTGAAACCCACGCATGCTTTCTCCTGATAGCCACTCTCTGTGAACTTGACGGAGTCCCCCCAAGAAGGACACGCCAGGGCAAAGGGCACCACCTCCGTCCTTTTGTTCCGCGATTGGACTCTGCCATCGCCACCCCTCCCGCATGGCCTGAGAAAGCCGGAGTGCCCGTGCGGGGTCGGGGACGCTGAGCAGGTGTCGTCTGTCCCCTGTGGGGGTGAAGACGGTGTTCCCCGTGCTGGTCAAGCCCGGGGCAAGGACCTGCTGGCCCCGCCTTTGACTTGTAGGCTGGTCGCGGGGACAGCCCTTCGATCTGTGGACACGAAGGACGTGCAGGGTTCTGTGCGCTTCCCTGGCATCGCCAAGACCGAGTACCGCACGCGGGGTGACGTCACCACAGACACGTCATCTTGGAGGCTGGGGAAACACGGGTCTGTGGAAGGCGGGCCGCCGACGTGCCGGGTGGCCCTGATGCTGGCCTCACTGCAGTGCAAACGCCTTAGGTTTTTCAAAGCTAGATGCCCACTGAGCGTTTTCATTTCTGCGGTATCGACATGGCCCCGAGAGCCAGCCCCCTGTTTCAGCTCCCGTCACAGCCGAGCTCGCCCCGAGGCTCGCTGCTGCCGCTGGCCTTCTCTGTCTGCTGAGGGAGTGCGGCGCGGTGACTCCCCGATGTTAACTCTGCGGGGCGCAGACGTGGCACTCACCCAGCTGGCGGGTGGGCGCTTAGCCCGTGGGTGATCGGCGGGCGGGCGCTTAGCCCATGGTCAAGGTGCCTGCGTCCCACCTTCAGAGTGACTGGGGTCAGTCCCAGCGCCCCTGCTGGTGCAGACCCAGGAGGCAGTGACGGGGATCCGCTACCCACATGGGAGCCCCGAATTGAGTTCCTGGCTCCTGGCTTCAACCTCAGCCCAGCCCTGGCCATTGTGGGCGTTTGCAGGTTGACAAACAGATGGGAGGTCTGTCTCTCTCTGCTTTCAAATTTCTTCTTCAACTCACTTTACACATTCTTCTGGGTTTGTTTTTCAAAGATTTATTCATTTATTTGAAAGGCACAGGTGCAGGGGGAGGGGGAGGGGGAAAGAGAGGCCAGAGACAGAGACAGATCCTCCATCTGCTGCTGTTCAGTCCCCAAATGGCTGCAAAGGCCAAAGGCTGGAGCTGGGCCAATCTAAAGCCAGAAGCCAGCTCCTTGGGGTCTCCCACGTCTCCCACGCAGGTGCAGGGGCCATATACTCGGGCCATCCTCTGCTGCCTTCCCAGGTGCACTGGCAGGAGCTGGATCAGAAGTGGAGCGGCTGAGACTCAAAGCACTGCCCATACAGGATGCTGGCCCTGCAGGTGGGGGCTCTCCCTGCTGTCACAGTGCCTGCTCCATTTTTTCAAGTTTCGGCGGTTACGCAGGTAGATGACCACGGTTCCAGCAGAGAGATAAGACATCATGCCCCTTTTTAACCAGTCAGCACCCTCAGCCCCCAGCCCTTGACAACCACTCGACTACTTTAGATCAATAACTTTTTCTTTGTTTGAATTTCATATGAGTGGAATTACATGCAGTTTCTACAGTGATTTAGGGCTCATTTATCTTACCTAGCATGATGTTATGGTTTTCTCCACTTTTCTGTTTATTTGGGATAATCTGGCATTGTTTTTCTAATGTCTTAGGGAATATGCTTAGGAATTGATTAAATTCTTCTTTTAAAAAATATAAGTATTTTGGGGGCCGGTGCTGTGGCATAGCAGGTAAAACCATCTCCTGCAATGCCGGCATCCTGGTTTGGGCACCAGTTTGTAGTCCTGGCTGCTCTGCTACCAATCCAGCTCTCTGCTATGGCCTGGGAAAGCAGTAGAAGATGGCCCATGTCCTTGGACACCTGCACCCTTGTGGGAAACTGGGAAAGAGCCTACTGGCTCCTGCCTTCAGATCGGCACAGCTCTGGCTGTTGGAGCCATTCGGGTGTGGAACCAGCAGATGGAGGCCTTCTCTCTCTCTCTGCCTCTCCTTCTCTCTCTGTGTAACTCTGACTTCCAAATAAATAAAACCTTTAAAAATATGTTATTAAAGCCTTCTGTTTTCCTTTAGAGCATTGCTTTACTGCATTAAAATATATCTTATCCCCCTTCAAATTTTCCTTGATTCTACATTATCTGGACGTGTGTTGCTTAATTTTTGAATCTTTGGTAACTTTGCAGATGGGTCTTGTTCTTAATTTCTAATTTAAATTTATGTATTTATTTACTGAAAGGCAGAGTGAAGGAGAGAGAGAAGCAGGGTAATGGGGGGAGGAGAAAGAGAAAAACTGATCTGTTTGCTGATTCACTCCTCAGATTATTCAATGACCAGGGCTGGGCCAGGTCAAATTCAGGAGCCAAGTGCTTCCTCCTGGTCTCCCATGTGGGTGACAGGGGCCCAGGTACTTGAGCCATCACCTGATGCTTCCCGGTGCATTAGCAGGGAGCCTGGTCAGGAGTGGAGTAGCTGGGACTCAAACTGGCTCTCCAGTATGGGATGCTGACATCACTAGTGGCAGTTTAACCTTCTGTGTCAAAATGCCCACCCCTGATTTTTTTTTTTAAAGTTTAATTTATTTGAGAGGTAGAGTTACAGACAGAGGGAAAGACAAAGAGAAAGGTCTTCCATCTGCTGGTTCACTTCCCAAATGGCCACAAGGGCCAGAGCTGAGGAGATCGGAATCCAGGAGCCAGGAGCTTCCTCTGGGTCTCCCATGTGGTGCAGAGGCCCAAGGACTTGGGTCATCTGCTGCTCTTTCCCAGGCCCTAGCAGAGAGCTGGATTGGAAGAGGAGCAGCCAGGATACGAATCAGCCCCTATGTGGGGTGCTGGTACCGCAGGCAGAGGCTTAGCCTACTACACCACTGTGCTGACCCCTATCCCTGATTTTAATATAATTCCTTTTCAGGAAGAAAATGTAATTTATGCAGCTTCAATTATTTAACTTTATAGATATTAAATCATTTTATGACCCAGAATATGGACTGTCTTGGTGAATGTCCATATATATTTGAAAATAATATCTATTCTACTATGATAAGTGAAGAGTTCTATACATTTCTGTTAGGCTGGTTTTGTTCATAGCATTATTCAGGTCTTCTGTGTTTACTGATTTTTTGTCTATTTACTGTATGAGATACTCAAAGGAGTGTTGAGTACACAAAATAGTTATGGAGTTGTGAATTTTTCCTTTCAAATTGCATTGGTGTTGGCCATTTGGGACTGTTCATTCTGATGGATGACGTGTCCTTTCATTGTTACAAAGTTTACTCTCAGCTCTGGTTTTTGTTAATCTTTGTCTAATGTTAATTTGCTATTTCTTAAATTGCATCTGCATATTTTTCCATTCTTTTCTTTCAACCTTCTAATTGGAATGTTTAAACTGTTTACATTTAATATGATTATCTATGTGGTAGGGTTTAAGTCTGACCAGCTGGCTGTTTGTTTCTATGTGTTACATTCATTCTTTGTGTTTTTCCCCCATTTTTGCCTCCATTTTTAGAGTGAACGGAGTAATTTTAGTCAGGTATTTTGTCTTCACTATTAGCATTTTTCGCAGTGTGGTTTGGTTTTGTTTCTTCCTGTTTGCTCTGGTGTTCACAGTCTGTATACTTATCTGAGCCTCCCTTTAAGTATGGAACAGTGATCTTCCCACAGCCTGCCTCCTTTCCCACGTGCTGGCCTTCATGCTATGTCATCTTCATGTTGGAAACTGTACCATTCATTGTCATCTTGCTTTAGAGAGCCAGTTACCTTTTGAAGAGAGAGAAAATGAGAAGAATAGATTTTACATCTTCTACACACGAGTGTTTGCCATTTCTTGTGCCCGTCATTCCTTTTTGAATCTGCAAATTTTCTCAGTATCATTTTCCTTTCGTCTAAGGATATTCTTTAATATTTCTTGTAGCATAAATTGCTGGTGGTGGATTTTTGTTTTTCAGATTTTGTTTGTGAGGAAGTTTCTGTATTTCACCTTCATGTTTGAAAGACATATCCACAAGGAGGGAGAACCCAGTCTGCCCCTCACAGATGTCAAGGGGTCTCCCAGTGTCCTTTGGCAGGCATAATTCCTCTGAGAAGGTCCGTTACTTGTCTCTTCCCGAATGGTTTTGTCTTGTTTTTCTTCGGCTGTGGTTAATGCTTTCTTCTCACTAGTTTTAACAATAGGTATGATGTACCTTGTGATTTTCTTCACATTTATTCTGCTTGCAGATTTTCAAGCTGCTACATCTGGCATTATAGTTATAACAAATCTCTTTCCAGCTGTATGTCTCCAAACAGTTTTACAATCCTTGTTGCCCACTCTTCTCTTGGATTTTGTAATTTTAAACGACTATCCCATAGGTCACTGGGTCCTCTCATCTTTTTTCATCAACCTTCTCTCACTATGCTACATTTTGTGTAACTGTTGTCTTCAACTTCACTTATCTTTTTCCTGCAATATCTGATCTGATATTAGTCTTCTTTGATATATTTTAAATTTTAGGTACTATACCTTTCTTCTTGGAAAGACCTATTTGTGTACTACTAATTTTCCATTTATTGTTTTCATATTTTTCTACATTGGAGTCAGCAAACTATGACTTGTGAACCAACTGTCTGTTTTGTTACAGATTTATTTTATTTATTTGAAAGGAAAATTTATATAAAAGAGAGAGAGGCCAGAGAAATAGTCTTTTAGCCACATGCTCACTCCCCAATAGTGCAATGGCCAGGACTGGACAGACAAAACCAGGAGCTTCATCTTGGTCTCCCACATCAGTGGCAAGGGCCCAAGTACTTGGGGCATGTTCTCTGCTCCTCCCAGGTACATTAGCAAGGACTAGACTGGCTGTAGAGCAGCTGGACTGAACCAACATTCCTACGGAATGCCAGCATCACAGGTGGCAGCTTAACCCACTGAGCCACAATGCCAATCCCCAGCTAATTTTTTTTTTACAAATATAGTTTTATTGGTACACAGACACACCCATTCCTTTCCATGTTGGTCTGTGGCTGCTGCACACCTCCATTGACATGGTTGAGAAGTTGGCAAAGAAGCCCGTGTGCCACAGAGCTTAAATTAATTTCCATATCGGGGCAGGTGTTGTGGTGTAACAGGTTAAGCCTGCACCTGCAATGCTGGCATCCCAAAGGGTGTGGGTTCATGTCCTGGCTGTTCCACTTCTGATCCCAGCCCTGGGAAAGCAGCAGAAGATGGCCCAAGGACCCTGCACTCATGTGGGAGACAGATGAAGCTCCTGGCTCCTGGCTTCAGCCTGGCCCAGCCCTGGCCATTGTGGGCCACTTGTGAAATGAGCCAGTGGATGGTCCACGGGACCCTCTCTGTAACTCTTTAAAATAGATAAAGTTAATCTTTAAAAAATAGCTCCCATATGGCCTTGCCCTTTAGGAAAATGTTTGCTGACTCACGCTGTAAATCCTTGAGCTCATGGTGCATACTTAGAACTTCACATTCTTTTGTTGTTAATTCCATCATTTCTGTCACCTTTTTTATTTTTATTACTTTGCACTCAGCAATTTTCTGTGTCTTTTACTCTCTTACTGGAAGTTGGACATTGTGGCTTTTACATAATTTAGCGCTTTTTTCCCTTATTTCTTTAGAAAGAATGCCAGATTTTGGCTGGCAGGAAGATGCTATTTGCTGACAAGGTTGAGCCTTTAAAGATCTGTTTGTTGACTTCTTTAGCAGATCTAGAATAGTCTTTATTCTAGCACTGCCTTAGCCCCTCTTCTAGATTGGGTTCTTCTGTGGTTTCCATGAATGTGTTATGTATCCAGTGAAGTCTGGCTGGAGAGAAGTCAAAAGGTTCTCAGGGCTGGCATTGTGACATTGTGGACTGAACTTCCACTTGCAACGCCAGCATCCCATGTGTGCACTGGCTCCAGTCCCGCCTGGGCCACTTTGATCCAGCTCCCTGTTAATGCGCCCGGAAATGCAGAGGGGGATGATCCCAGAGTTGGACCCTGCCCCTGTGTAGGAAGACCCAGATGGAAGCTCCTGGCTCGGCCCAGCCCAGCCCTGCCCATTGTAGCCAGCTGGGATCAACCGGTGGATAGAAGATCTCTCTCTCTCTCTCTCTCTGTTTCTCTTTCTTTCCTTCCCTCCCTCCCTCCCTCCCTCTCTCTACACTCTGCCTTTCAAATAAATAAAGGAGCTCCAAAAGATAAAAAAAAAAAAAGATATATTCTCAGCTGTGTGTAAACTGTTGGAGTTGTTCCACTGACAGCTCCCTGTGATTGTTTGTTTCTCTGGCCTTGTGAGCCTCCATCCTTTGTGTTCTTAGATGGGCGTCACAGGACCCACATGCATTTTCTGGGATCCTTTGTTTCCATAGCTCCCTCCTCTCTGGTTTCTCCTGCACGATTTTCAGCTGCCTTGAGCTTGTTGACTTCTAGTTCCTCAGTTCAACAAAATGAGGTTTCTCCTCGCTGGGAATAGTCCTCAGGCTCAGAGCCTGGGAGCTACAGTGTCCCGAGTTGCCTGTTGTCCTGTTGTCTTCTCGGGCTGTAATTCCACACCTTACTGACTCTGTCAGGACCCAGCGAGAGTGCCCCTGGCGAGTTTTTTGACACGTTTGGTGAAACTCAGCCAATTGCCCTAGTCAGTCCGTGTCTACAGTTTGTTGACTACACCCTGTAACTGCTGCCTTGTTTTTACTGTCAGATATCTTATTTATTTTTAATTGACTGTTGCTCAACAAGGGAAGCTATGTGGGGTCAGAAAAAGATGGTTTATTCTGGTTTATCAGCATCTGGTTAACTTGGGTTTTACTATGCATTACTTATTTGCAATTGTAAGACTTAAAGTAATTACTGACTACTTAAATAGTGATTATAAATATGAATAAATGATGTTTGTTGTTTAATGGAATGCTGGGTATTTTTGTACGTGGTGTACATGAGTGGGTGTATACAGAGAAACAGCACTGTTGTGATAACAGTACTTGGCCTGAGATGTCTGAGGCTGCCTCTTAGCCCAAGGCACAAGTGCTGGGGAGGCACGTGGGGGAAATGTTTATGAACCCAAGGCCGAAGTCCAGTTCCTGGGTGCGCTCACGTTCCTGTGTGAACCCAAGGCCGAAGTCCATTCCTGAGTGAACTCAGTCCTTCTGTGAAGCCCGCACCCGAGCCAGCACACCGTAGCCTCACCACAAAGCCGCTCAGCTTGCCTTCTCACTAATCCTGAGACGTGAAGCAAGGAAACAGAGCCACGGGTAAGTGGTGCGCTTCCGCCCGCGCTCCCTCGGCTGTAAAACTCAGAGGCTAGTAGTAAAGCAAGGAGTGGTGCTCCCTCTCATGGCCTGCAGGGCAGTCGCTAGTATCTTGTTTTCAGAAGTGTATTCTCTAGAATGGAATACTTATCACGTAATGCCAGCATTTTAAAAAATTAGAATATAGAGTAGTATTACAGTATGATCATACATACATATTCATTTCTGTATATAAAAACTGGAAAGAAAATTCAATTAAGTTTAGTAATTATCATCTCTGGGTAATTACTGGTAATATATACTCTGGTTAGTCAGATTCCATGAATTTCCATGGCAGGACATGTAGTATTTTTTTTTTTTTGACAGGCAGAGTGGACAGTGAGAGAGAGAGACAGAGAGAAAGGTCTTCCTTTGCCGTTGGTTCACCCTCCAATGGCCACTGGCGGCCGGCGCACCATGCTGATCTGATGGCAGGAGCCAGGTACTTCTCTGGTCTCCCCTGGGGTGCAGGGCCCAAGCACCTGGGCCATCCTCCACTGCACTCCCGGGCCACAGCAGAGAGCTGGCCTGGAAGAGGGGCAACCGGGACAGAATCCGGCGCCCTGACCGGGACTAGAACCTGGTGTGCTGGTGCCGCAGTCGGAGGATTAGCCTACTGAGCCACAGCGCCGGCAGGAACATGTAGTATTTTTACTACAGTGAAAAAAAAGTTATTTGTCAGATTTTAAAAAGACTTTTGAAAGAACAGTACAATGCTAACTCACAATAAAATCAAATGCTGGTTTAATTTATAAAAAACAGACAAGAGTGGTGGTGTACATCCCTGATTTTTTAGTGTTGCAGCCTAATCTATTATCTGGATGACTGAAAGTTATTTATCTATTTTTGTTTTCCTTTCAGATCAGTATAAAGGTCACAGTCCAGGACACGTTCACTGGGGTTGAAAAACTTGTTAGTGTGGCTTTCTCCACATTTGTAGTCAAACCACTTGGAGAAGAGAAGGTAAGTTTCTGTGTGATGAGGTGTCTAGTGTGGGGCCCAGGGACACACCAACACTCGCATCAGAACTGTTATGAGATGGGCACCAGTTCGAATCCCAGCTGCTCCACTTCCAATCCAGCTCCCTGCTAATGCACCTGGGACAGCAGTGGAGGATAGTCCAAGTGCTTGGGCCCCTGCACCCACGTGGGAGGCCCAGAAGAAGCTCCTGGCTCCTGGCATCAGTCTGGCCCAGCCCTGGTAATTGTGGCCATTTGGGGAGTGAACCAGTGGATGGAAGATCTCTCTGTCTTCCTCTCTCCCTCTCTCTCTGTCTGTGTCTCTCTGTAACTCCACCTTTCAAATAAATGAACAAACCTAAAGAAAAAAAGAACTGTTATGGAAAAAAGGACATTTCTTCTCAGTAGGAGATACCAAGGGCCCTTCAGAGAGTTCACAGAAAATAGGATTAAAGGTCAGCTTATACTGATGCAGAATTTTTTTGAAATCCATGCAGTTTTTTCATGTACCTTTTTCATGAGTCTTTGAAGACTCCCTGTATGCCTGAGTTTCAAAAGTTTTTGCACCAGAATAAGTTTATCTTTTAGTTTCATTTTCTATAAATATTTTGAAATGTTATCGTATATTGTCCTAAGATTTGTTACTCCCCAGTATTTATCATAAAAGCTATTCTGTGATAATATGAGATTAAGTGCTCTAGAAAAAAATTGGTTTTTTTAAAGATTTAAACTTATTTGAAAAGCAGAGTTATTGGAAGAGAGGGAGAGACAGAGAGAGATCTTCTACCCTCTGGGTCATTCCCCAAATGGCCACAACAGCCAGAGCCAGGCCAGGTAGAAGCCAGGAGCCAGGAGCTCCATCTGGGTCTCCCATGTGAGTGGCAGGAGCCCAAGCACCTGCGCCACGCTCTAGTGATTCCCCAGGCTCATTAGCAGAGAGCTGAACAGGAAGTGGAGCCGTCAGGACCGGAACCAGCTCCCATGTGGAATGATGACATCACAGGCGGCAGCTTAACCCCCAGCAGCACAGCGCTGGCCCTGCCACCGGGCTTTGAATGATCTGAAGGTCATACTGGTGCAGACAGACTTGCTGCTTACTGGCCTAGTTCTTCCTTCTGTGGCTATGTGACTGGAAAATAAAAAGCAGGAGAAATGTAGGAGGTGGTTGCATATTACCATCCCATCATTTTTCATCCTGAAGAAGTCAGAATTGCTGAATTATTGGAATTTAAAAACAAGCCTCAGGGTGCCTGGGGTGAAAGCGTCCTTCCAAGCCACGCCCTGCCTGGTGCGTGCACAGCCGCCCGCCTGGCCAGGGGCCCAGATCTCCTCTGCAGGCCACTAAGGGTTACTCAGTAGAACTTCTTGGCGCTCCTTCCCAGGGTCACTATGTCTAGGGACCTCACATAGTCTAAGCATTTTTCAAATGTAACAGTTCTGATAAAAAATTGAATCTTTCATTGCAAAGGCAGCTTCCAGCCTCCTGGAAGCCACAGGGATCTTCTCACTGCCCCAGGGTGTTGTTGCTTGCCCTGCTGCCAGCCCCAGAGCAGCTGGGACAAAGCAGTGTTTCCCCACACCCAACAGACCTGCAGCACACAGCTGCCCTCACCTGAGTGGGGAGGCAGGCAGGTGGCGGGGTGGCGGCACCCTGCCAGAGTTTTGTACCCTGGGCACTTCTCTCACCGCAGGCCTGACACTAGATGTGACCCACTGTAGTCCAAGACCAAGGGTGTTGCTTTCCAAACGGAAGTCTAGCTCAAACTCGGCTTTCTGGGCCACGCCTGGGACCTGCTGAGTTACAAGCAGCTAGATGGGGACTGAGAATCGCACGTTCCTAGAACTTCAGGCCTTGACGCGGGTCTCGCCAGCCCTTCTGTTTTTCCCGAGTGCCTTCCCCCTGTCAACCAAGTCTTCAGATTCCTGGGAACGAGAGTCCCCGTGTCTGAAAGCTAGTGACGGGCAGCAGCCACACAGCTGTTCCCCTCCAGCCCAGCCTTCCCGCTCTGAACTCAGGGGTGCATGGAGGATGGAAGGGCCCCTCTTCAGTCCTGTCCCTGCCCAGGCTGGAGGCTTGGCTCCCAGCAGAGGAAGCCAGGCCCCTGCAGCGCTGCCCTCATGGGTCGCACAGCCCCTTGCCCAGGCTGCGTCTTCTCCAGCAGGTAGCGTTCTTGTTCAGAATGCAGCACGCCAGGGAAAGTCAGGGCCACTTTGAACTGAAGGGCTCCCTGGACCTCCGTGCAAAGTGAGCTGGTTCCAGGACTCCATGGGGCCTGGGGCCAGGCCGCCTCACCACGACGGCGAGAGACGCCGGAGCGGGAGCAGACAGCCTCAGGGTCCTTGCAGTCTCACCAGGTGCACTTCCTCTGTGGCTCAGGAGTCGTCCGGGACAGGTGCAAGTGGCCTTGGTGTCAAGCACTCATTTACCAGCCTTGTGTACCCTGCTGAGTGCACAGCTGACACAAGGCTGCCTGGAGAGCTGACCAGTGTCGTCCGCCTGTCAGTCTGCACAGCCCTCAACAGTCAGACAAGCCCCCAGGGGGGTCTGGGACCTCACGCAGCGCAGTACCATCCTTCTCTCAGCCGAGGGGGCGGCACCAGCCTGCAGGGACCCTGGAAGGAAGCATGGGGCTGTTGTAGTCCCCCTCAGGGTGAGCCCTGCTGACACACGTGGAGGGTCACCAGCCCGAACGTGGGCTCGTGGCTCTGTTGCATCCTGTTTCCCTAAAACTTGTACACATTGATTCTTCTGTTTCATCAGATGATCAAATTTCCAAATCGGGCGTATCCCCTGCCACGAGATACCTTTCTCTAGAACATCTTTATTGCCAACCTTTTCTGCCTTAATTTGCAAAAGATAGAAAGCGTTTCTTTTTAACATATTTATTTATTTCCTTGAGAGACAGCGCTCCCATCGGTTGGTTCATTCCCCAGATGCCTGCGGTTGGCAGGGCTGGGCCGGAGCCAGGACCCGGAACTCAAGCCAGATCTCCCACACAGGTGCTGGGGAGCCACGGACCTGAGCCACCACCCACTGCCTCCCATGGTCTGCATTAGCAGGAAGCTGGAGTCGGGAGCAGAGCAGGGCAGGCACTTTGATGTGGAGAGAGCACCTTAACCGCCAGGATAAACACCCACCCAGAAAACATGTTTTGAAGAGAATTCAGGGGCATCAAAAGTCCCTCTCCTCATTCCCTCATTTGAGGATTTTATGTTCTTTAGTCCTATTGAAAATTATTATAACCAAGGAAAGTAAACAGGGAAAGCATTTAAATATCTTATTATATGAAGAACTAATTAAGCCTCTATTGATTTTTTAAATTGATAGGTATTTTAAGAAAAGAATTAGACACAGTGTGTTTAGGTCCCTTAAATACTCTCTTTGCCCGAGTTAGAAAATGGTATCATTGGGTTCTCGTGTCGTGCTTTTAGAATTTAACACGGCTCTGACGGACAAGTGTGTTTCTTTCTCCAGATTCGCTTAAAGCCGGTCCCGCTTCTCACGGAGCAGGATCGCGTGCAACACAATCTGGCTTCGGAGAGGAGGAAAGTTCGGCTGCAGCACGAAGACACTTTTAACAGCTTGATGAGGGAAAGCGGCAAGTCTGACGGTCAGGTCGTCCCCCTGCGGGCACGCCTGGGGCCCCGGGAACAGGCCCTTCCTCCAGTCCAGTCCTGCTGAAGGCAGGCCTGTGGGGCACACCTGTCGCTGGAGGCGGGGGCTGGCCCCTCGGGTCTCCTGACCGGGCGGGGCGGGACGTTCCAGTGAGGGACTGGGGATCACTGGGGAGTAGTCAGTGTGGCTCCCCAGGGTGGGATGGGGCTTTACAGGCGCCGGGCGGTGGGAAAGAGGCTGGCAGTGAATGAAAAGCCAAGATCCCGCTGCTCTCTCCTGGCACTTCCCATGTAGCCCTGGGTTTTCCCGGGCCCTTTCTTAACGCTCAGGCACTGATTTCTCCTGGTCTTTGAGGCCTGGTGGGGCAAGAATGGCGCAATGCCCCGGTGTCTGACCACAGATGCCATGGTGTGGGGCACCATGGAGGAGGGGAGGGGGCACCACTCAGGAGAGCAGGGGGAGCTCAGAGAAAGTCCGAGCCCCCTCGACTGAAGGAAGGCACAGGAAGCGGAGTTAGGAGACAAAGGCCAAGGACATGTGAGTTCTTAGGCGACTGAGAGGGAGACGTGCATGCCTGGTGGGAAGAGGGAGCCCCAGCAGGACAGGTGTGGCGCTGCACTGGCCCTCGGCATCCTGGCTCCTGGGCCGAGCTGTAGAGATCGCTGGGGCTGGGGCTGGGGCGGGAAAGAGGTGTTCTCCATCTTCTGCTGTGAGCACCTGGAGATAGAGGGACCAGGGATGCTCTAGGACTCTCTCTCTCAGACTCAGAACCACTGGGCCCTGGCCCCAGGTGACCCCAGGACGACTGGTCAATAAGGAAGGAGGGAGAACGCGTGGAAACCTATTTATTTGCAAGCTTTAAGGGGCAGCAGCGTTGCCAAGTTACGTTTCCGGAAGGAGGACCTGATCCTCATGACAGTGTCCAGCAGAGTGAGTCTCCATTCGGTACCAAAATCTGTGTGCAAATGCAGCAGCCAGAGCAGAGGGAGGCCCTGAGACAGACAAGACAGCCCTCAGAGACAAAGCCGAGGCAGCCAGGGAAGAGAGAAGGCGGCCAGACTCTTACTCAGGCTAGCAAGCAGAAGTCTAAGGTGTCTTAGGAAGACTCAGACATCCGACACAGCTGTTAAGAGCAAGTGCTTTTACTCTGATCTCAACAGCCTGCCTTTTCACACTATTATTATTTTTCTAATTTTAGTTTTATTGTCTTTAAAAAATATTTTACTTGAAAAACAGAGTTACAGAGAAAGGAGAGACAGAAAGAGATGTCCCATCTGCTGGCTCACTCCCCACGTGGCTGCAATGACCAGGGCTGGGCCAGACTGAAGCCAGGGTCCTGGAGCTTCACCCAGGCCATCCATGTGGGTGGCAAGGGCCCAGACGCTGGGTCCATCTTCCAGTGCTTTCTGATCCAGAGAGCAGGATCCAACACAGAGAAGCTGGGACATGAATCAGCACCCTGTCAGATGCTGGTATCGCAGGTCCCAGCTTAGCCTGTTACACCACAAAACTGGCCCCTTATATTTTTAAAAAGCCTTCCACCTCATTAAAACTGTACTACTTGCCTTTAAGAAAAGGTTGAAGTAAGCCACTAGGTGTTCTCTATACCAGTGGGAAGTAGCATTGGCATTTGGCGGGAACACCATTCTCGCAGGGTGTTTTCCCGCACTTGGGATATCACAGGTGGGGGCCTGTTCCTTCCTGGTTTTGAGAACTGACCTCACGGAGAACAGGGCCCTCTGTCCACCACTCACCTACAGCCACCACCCAGAGATGTGGCTCATTTACACCTGAGCTTGGGTCCTGCAGCTGGTGGGCCCTGGCCAGTCTGAAGTCACTCTTTCTGTTTTCTTATTCACAACTCTCGCTGCCTGTAACCAAGACCTCTGCCATTGCTCCTCTGAGCTCACTGAGGCAAGGTGAAAACAAAACAATCAAAATGGCAATGTAAAGCAGCACTAATGAGCGCATTTCAGTAGAAGGTTGGCATGAGGATGAAATGAGGTCATGGGCGGGTGGCCCCAGAAGTTTATGGGAAAGTGGGACTGAAAGATGTGTCCCTTTCCCACAAGCGTTTTGAAGGCCCCCCATAGAGTAGCTCCGTGGGCCCTGCGTGGGGCACGGAGAAGGTGCTATCTCGCTGTTGCTGGAGAGGCGCCTGTCCACAGGAGGGGCTGGTGTGCCTGTCGGAAGGCCGTACTTGGAAGGAACATGACTGTGAAGGATGAGAGACAGCTTGGAGACAGAGGGGCCCTCCAGGGCACAGGGCGCTCCTTTTCAGACAGGAGGAATGTGGCCTGGCTCCCAGGGGCTGGGCTGGGGTGAGAGTCTGGGAGGGACGTCAGACCGGTGCTTCTGCGCCTTGCCAGTTGCTGTGTGTCTGTCCTGGGAGGAGTGAGGGGCTTGCTGCTCTGGGCAGATTTGGAGGGGTGAGTCCGACTGGGAGTGCTCAGGAGGGCGGTGACCGAGCCTTCTCTGTGCCCTTGCCCCCAAGGCAGCATGAGCCGGGTGAACTCGCTGGCTGTGTGTACAAGGTGCACCAGTAGACAGTGTGATGCACACACAGAGGGCACACGTGGCGCTGGACGCTTCTGAGTCAGCTGCTGACACACACAGTCTGCATTCAGCGAGCGAGACGTGAGTTCCAGCTCAGTGCCAGGTTGTCCACATCACGACCACAGGCCTGGCTCACTTTAGATCTGTAGACATTTTGGCTTTTATTTTAAAGGCGTATTTATCTGAAAGGCAGAAAGGGAGAGACTGAGCAAGAAGGAGATCTTCCATCTGCTGGTTGGGTTCACTCCTCAAATGGCTACAATGGCCATGGCTGGGCCAGGCCGAAGCAGGAGCCAGAAGCTTCATCCAGGTCTCCCACGTGGGTGGCAGCAACTCAGGCACTTGGGCCATCTTCTGCTGCTTTCCCAGGCACATTAGCGGCAAGCTGGGTTGCAGGAGGAGCACCCGTGTGGTAAGTCAGCAGCGTGGGCCACAGCGTAACCCACTGTGTCACAATGCCAGTCCCTTTAGACGTTTTAAACTATGCTTTTATCATTATTCTATTTAATCTTCCTTAAAATAGATTCTTCTACAATCCTTAGCACAAAATGTAATTTTAATCTAACTCCATTGGTTTGTTCTTTTTGAAAATTGTACTAACCCCCAGACCCCCAAATGTATCTAAGCACTTAAAAGCAGTTCCTGTCACGGAGTGGAAGGCTTAGACCTGACACTTCTGGTTGCTGTGGTGCGTGGTTCAGCTGCTGATACCTTGGTTCTGAAGGAGCTTGCTTTTCACTGGCCAGATATGTTCAGCTCTCTTACTGAGCCATGTTCTTGGAAATTCAGGCTTCTACATTGGCTGAAATATCAGACATGAAAGATTAAACGGTTTCCCAAGTGTTGAGTGACGGCAGTGAGTATTGTTGGAGCAGTGAGAAACTGGAATTAGGTTATACACTTTCAGAAGGAAAGAGCAAATGATGAGATGGGATTTGGCAGAAGGAAGACATTTCTGGGTGTGCTCTTGTACTGCTGTGTTGTTCAGAAGCCTGGTGTATAGGGAAAACTTAAAATTGGAAGCATTTTCAGTGTAGATCCTGAGAGCGTTCTCCTGGGTGGTTGTTTCCGAATCCGCAGAAAGAAAACGGGCTGCAATGACCTGGTTTCAGGTGAAAGAGCCTGACCTAAATGTGGGATGAAAGTCAAGTTGCCCAAACAGGCTGGTGACACAACACTTTCAGGACATCCAAAGTACAGGCGTTGAGCTTGGCCGGGCACAACCCGCAGGAAGGGTCAGTTCTGTTTACTGTACTCACAGCAGAGCTGGGAGCAGAGCTGCTTTCTGAATGGGAAACCCTATTTTACCTTTAGTTAGCCATTACCTGCAAATAGGCAAACTCTGCACCAAAGTCACCCCCACCCAGGGTATTTCTGCAAACATGGCATAGCTGATAGCTAAATCCTTGTGGGACGTGAGTGGCCTCATAAAAGGAGATGCCTTCTACACTTAGGTTAAGACCTTCTCAGTTTTTTTAATCTTAAAGTTATTTTTAAATTATTATTAAATTGATAGTCTACGCACAGGGTAAAAGTTATGCTCCCATCTGTGTCTGCAGTCACACAGTTTGCACAGACGTGTGCACACACGTGTACACACACGTGTGCACACACACACACGCACTCATACGTGCACCCCCATGCCAACACATAGTGTAGCAGCGTTCCCCCAGTTACAAGCTTCGAGTGTTTTCATTTAGCAGTATATTTAGAGACAGTTTGTATTACGTTATTTTTTACAGGATGTGCCATTTGAGTATCTGATTTTTGCCAGACAAATATCAATGCTAGTTTAGTTTTTGGATCATTATGCATTTAATTCAATAAAAAGAAGAGAGAGTGTATGGAGGGGGTTACGGTTTTGCATCCTTTCTAAGATCACTTTAGGAAGTAAGCCAGTGTTGATTATAATAATGTCTTGGCCTTCACGTTTGGGAAAACCATAATCCTAGGCAAACGTTGCCAGACGCCTTTGTAAACAGAACTCAGCAGTCAGAAAAAGAAGGGAAAACCTTGAAGTCCAGCAATGCCTGGGAGGCACCAGTGGGCAGAGTAGGCACGGGCTAACTCTGGTGACTGCCCGGAGGACCCGTGTCTGAGGAGCAGTGCTTGTGCTAAGCAGACTGTGCCCAGCAAAGCCAGGGCTCTGTGCCCAGTGGGAGGTGGGTCAGAGGACCTCCTAGGCAGCCGTGGCCTTCAAAAACGATGCCCTCAGTGAGTCCACTAGAAAAGCCCCACCCTCCAGAGAGCTGTGGTAGGGAAGCGTTCCTGTCTCAGCCTCAGCCCAGAATGGGAAAGAAGTTCCGTTTGAGGATTGTGTGAGGCGTGCACCCTCCTGCGGATTTGCTGTTGGAGTCACATGGTCTGTTTGCACTGAAGTGGACTCAGTGAGCTTCGGCTCGTGCAGGGTGTTGTCAGACCCCGGGAGCAGCAGCAGCCAACGCAGTTTTCTCATGGGGAAATGTAGTCCCAGACCCCAGGAATTTTCGTTTAAGGATCCCAGGTGTGAGCTCCTAGTCAGAGAACATGAAAGGCGAGAGTTACTAAGGCGCTGCGGTGTGCAAGACATACCACTCACTCAAGATCTGGAGAGGCCCACAGAGGTAGCAGGCGTTGAATTTGCCGTATGAAGAGTATAAAGTCAGAATGTTAATGTGCTTTAGAAATAAAAGAGTACCAAAAGTATGATGCAGGACAACAAAAATGACCTTGAAGGATGGACAAAGAAGCAAAGAGAATTACTATAAAGAATATATACTTATTAAAATTTAAACACAGTGAAGTTAACAGCAGATACCTAGAGTGAATCCTGATAGACAAAAACATGGCAAAGAGCTGAGAGAGGTTAGGAGACATAGATAGTGCGAAGCTGAACGCATAGCCTCTCCGAAGTAGGAGAGCGGTAAATGACAAGCAGATGACATAGAGAGACATTCATTAGGGGTGACAAGAATGTTTACCAAACCCACAGAGAGATGTCAGAAGTCATTGGTCACAAGAGATGTGCAATTAAAGATCAAGTCTTATCTGGAATGGTTGTGGTTAAAAGTGTTGCAGGTTTTAGACTACCTGCATATGCACAGTGAGGGGTGTGGGGCACAAGTCTCACCGCGACATTCATGCATGTTTTACGTACACCTCGTATACACAGCCTGCAGGCTGTTTTATCCAGTATGCTTAGTGCACCTGTATTTCATCTGTGACCCACTAGGAAAAGTCAGCGGTGGCGTTCTGTCAGCCCTCAGAAAGTTTCAGAGTGTGGAGCATTTGTATTTCCAGTTTTTGGGTTAGGGACTCTCAGCTGTAACCAGCATGAGATAGTTTTCCACCAACTAAACCAGGAGCAGTTGAGTGTCTAGTGATACTATTTTAAGCAAAAAAGATGAGGAACTGGAGCTCTCAGCGACAGCTGGCCCCCGTCGAAGGTGACACAAGTTGTTCTGGGCCAGCCAAGAGGGCCCAGTGTCCCCAACACCTGGTGACAACTTCAATGTTGAAGATTATTGTTTTTCCAAGAGAAGCAAGACCTTTTGTCCTTTAATGAAATGGCAAGTCGGACGAGACGAAGATAGTTCCCAAGTGAATTTTTTATTGCAAGCCAAAAAAACCCCACCCCCCCACACACACACAAAACAGAACAAGTGAAAACAAACAAAAGGAATATATGAAAGGATAGGGAAAATAGGTAAAAGGAAATTACTTGGGTGCGAAGTGCTGGGAATGAACCAGTGTGTCCATGAAGGAAGCTGTCTGTGTGGCCAGGCAGCAGGCCCCTTAGGGTGGTGCTCCATGGTCCAGATACGGCCAGGCCGCCCGCAGAGGGCTTTTCACCCCAGCAGAGCCTCTGGCGGCTGACGCCTGTTCAGGGTGAAATCTCGCAGAGTGGGGTCACAGCAAGATGTGCCTCCGATGGGAGTCTGGAGACTCCAGGAGTGTTAGCTGGCAGCCTTGGAGAAAGCGGTCCTGGACCCAGGCCCTCATCTGCGTGTGGGCATGCCGTGGTTGCGGTGGTTGTCAGCGGTGAGAAGTAACGGCCTCCGTGCCGTCGGCCCGCCTTTGGCTCAGCCTCCGTGACTTAGAAGGAAAAACTCAGACTGCAGTCAGCGCCGTCAGAGTCAGTCCTGTTAGTCACCATCGAGATGGCAGTTCACTTAGCACACAAGACAGACATCGCAGCGCAACCCTGCATTTTTTACTTAGGAATGTTCTGTCGAGGGTAAGCACCATGCCTGTGAAGTGGGGTGAGTTCACTCACGTATTCATTCACTCAACAAATACCTGGTGAAGACCCAAGTTCAGGAATCAACATTAAAAGCATTTCCTAGTTCCTGCCCCAAGGAGCGTAGGCTCTAGTGAGTCAGACAATCGATGCCCACACAAACAAGCATACAACTAGAGCTTTACAATAGAGGTCCGTGGAGGAACTGACTGGGGGTGTCAGGATGACTGGGAGTGGGACAGGTGGTGCTGTTGGCCAGAGGGGACTGCCGCAGGCAGAGGGGACATGTGCAAGTACCATGATGTTGAAGACAGCACTCCCTTGGAACCACTGGGGAAAGACCCACGTGACTGGCGCAGAGACAGTGGGAGGATATGGTGAGGTTGGTGGTGGTGGTAGTGGCATTCAGACCAGTGGGGCTGGAGAGGGAAGCAGAAGTCGGACAGGACGAGGGACTTGAGGCCACAGCAGGATTTGGGGTTTTGTACTGGAACAGTGGGATGCTTCCAACCTGTTTGAAGCCTGGGAACAAATGATCAATGGGGTGATCTAATTGCAAATCTAAAAATTCCACTGGAGGCAGACATTTGGCACAGCAGTGAAGGGATGCTACTTGGAATGACCACATCCTAATCAGAGTCCCTAGTCTCCAAGGTCTGGCCCTGCTCTGATCAAGCTGCCTGCTAATTAGCACCCTAGGAGGCAGCTTAGGTGTTGGGTCCCTGCCTCCCACATGGGAGACCTGGATTGAGTTCCTGGCTCCTGACTTTGGCTAGCCCAGCCCTAACTGTTACAGCAGATGGAAAATTAATCTGTCTCTCTTCTCTAAAATAAATTGAATAAATTTTAACAGAATTTCTGTTAGCAAGTGGCATTAGAGATCTGTAGCCATACTTCTTACATGTACCTAGACGGGCTTGTGCCAGGAATGACTGTTCAGGCCCTGGTCAGCTGTCATTACAGCAAGAGCTGGGCACAGCTCAACTTTCACATAGCACGCTCAGCTCTGTTTCTGGCGTGTACGTCTTCCCCCACGTCCCCTGAGAGCACCGGAGACGGCAGACTGGCTGATGACTCCCCTCAGAGATGCAGGAAGCATAACCCAGTGCATTTTACTGCTTTGCAGCCAGAGAGACTGATTTCCCCGTTGTCGAGAGTAAAAACCAATTTGTCAGTAAGTGAAGCAAACAGGATTCCAGGCAAACAGGAGGCTTTGAGAAACGCTGTGGACGGTGTCTTTCCTGCTTCCAACCTTGTCTGTCCCAAGACTGCTTCCCCAGGGAGCCGTGTTCCCCTGCCGAAGTCCACAGTGCACCCGTCTCTTGGTGTCTGTGCCCTTTCAGGGCTCCGATTCCTTTACTCTCAGCCACTTTATTGAGGTGTAATTGGCACATGACAAACGTCTCATATTTAAAGATGCAATTTGGCAAGTGTTGACGTAACTCTTCACCCATGAACACAGCGTCAACACAAGGACGCACCCGTCACCCCTGTAATTCCTGACAGCTCCTCTCCTAACCTGCCCTTCCACCACTCAAACCACGCAAGTCCACATGTAACCATTCTGTCCGTCAGGATTCTGATGAACTTGTTACATGGTTGGAACTCGCTCTCCTAAAGGCCCTTATCTTAGCCCAATTCACGGTGGAAACCCGCTGTTTGGATGACCTTCACTCCACAGTACTCAGATTTAAGTTTTTGCGAACAAAAGCCCCAGCATTGAGTGCGCTGCTAGCGAGGAGGATGGCCCCGCAGGGGACCCCACTGTCACGACCGTTTTGCACTTTCAGATCCAGTTTCTGCTGAAGAAGGGACGGTGTCCACCAGGGGCACCTCTGCCCAGAGCGTTGAACTTGTCCTCCCGCCCCACGCAAACCACCACGGAAACACATTTGGTGGCCAGATCATGGCCTGGATGGAGACGGTGGCTGCTGTTTCTGCAAGGTTCCTAACTTCTGACCTCAGCTTGCTGCTTTAGGACCAGTGGGGAGAAAATGGAAAGTCAGGATGAGCTGGGCCAGTTGGGGGTCAAGGGATGACGGGATGAGGAAAGGGCGCCTCCTACCACACCCAGGAAGTTATCAGTCATTTGGTTGCTTGCCTTAGGATTGATCCGTCCTTCGTGCAAAGGTCAATGTTAATTTCTTCACTCAAAAGTGAAAATGAAACAAGAGTTTGGAATCTGTATTCTGAATACTGACCTTGTGATATCTACAGATATGTCTGTAGTTAGAAACCTGTAGTTATCCTTTCTATGGATGGTGCACAGTACAAGAAGCCTTGTTTTAAAAATGAGATTGTCACTCCTAATGACAGTGCAGCTCCCAGACATGTTCTGTCATCAAGACTTACAATATAACTTAGCTGTGGTGCAGTCTGCTTGCATAGTGTTGGCATAGCTGTTTAACCGAAGGAGTAGCAATCTAAAATGTGGAAAACTGTGGAAATAGCATTCTGAAATGCTGTAAGATGTGAAAAGCTCACCTTTCAGTGTGTGGTGAAGTCAGTTAACCGTGAAGCTAACGAGTGGCGGTGAGCTGCACCTGCTGGCAGCTGTCCCCCACTGCCACCGGGCGTACAGAGCCCTGGGAGAGCAGTCACAGGCTGTTGGACCAACATAACCAGGACAGAAGGCACTGGCTTGTTTTTCAGAGGGACTTCCATCGGGGCCAGACAAGAGCAGTCTGTTAGCCCAGGAGCAGAAGTACCAGTATCTCGGGAAAGACCCCACTTCTCCTGGACATGTGCTTCCCTGAAGGTTTGCCGTTTGTGTGCAGTCACTGTGAGCACACAGAATCCAGTCACCTGCCTCACTCGAGTTAGAAGAGGTTTTGTGCAGAAAATGGCCAAGAACTTGCCCGCCGCAGCGGCTCTGACTCAGTACTCCCGGGGCTCTGCAGGGAATGAGTGCTTTGTTTCTTGTCTCCCTCAGCCGCCTGTGTCACGCGCACCCCATCCTCAAGTCCGTGGACATGTTCAAGTTCAGGGGCCCGTCCACAGTTGGAGACCGGCTTGTCTTCAATGCCATTGTCAACAATACCTTTCAGACCTGGTAAAGCATGCTCTCAGGCTCCTGGGCGCTGACTCAGCTTGCACATACATAGTTTTTAATTTTTGTTTAAATATGGAGGTAAATAAGGGGATTAAAAGGACCAAGTTACGTCTAATTTTTTTTTTGAAATTTCATTCCATCTTTAAAATCTGAGGGCACATGTGTGAAGTCGGTGTCCTCCCACTGAGCGCATAGTGATTGACGGGGACTTTGGTCTCTTAGGGTCTTAGGGCAGCTGTGTGGCGCAGGGTGACCCTGGTGTGTGCCTGTGGTCTTGGCATAGTGTTTAACTCTGTCTCCTGCCCTCCAGAGTGGCCCAGTGACTGTGCCATCAACCGACCCATCATGGGCCCGGTACTCACCGCCACAAAGTCCAAACCACTTTCTAGTTATTTTTATTATTCTTTAGAGTAAAAGGCTTTAAATTGGTATTTTTTCATTTTAGATATAAAAACGTGCTACCTTTGTCTCCCTCTAATTTCCACGTTTGATTCTTTGACAATGCTGAACTACTGTTCTTAAGGACGAGAACTTGACTCTGGCAGTATAAACCCCCTCCCATAACCAAAGTGTGCTCCTGAAGGTGTGCTCCGGGGAACCCCCAGGTGGCCTGTCACCTGCCTGAAGGCGGAAGCCAGGTGGAAACGCTTTCACAGCCCTGGACACGCTGGCCCAGTGGCCTGAAGATGGATTAGAATAGCGCTCAGATTGCAGGGAACCAACGTGAAACCCAGCACCTTCTTCCTCCTCTGTTGTTGGAGAAGCGGAGAGAGCAGGCGGGAGGGCTTGACACGCGTGGTTCTCTGCCCACGGCCCCGTCTCACCCTTGCAGCGTGGAAGTCGGAGTGCGCGTGGAGGCCTTTGACTGTCAGGAGTGGGCCGACGGCCACGGCCGGCACATCAACAGCGCCTTCCTCATTTACCACGCGGTCGACGACAGGGGCGAACTCCTCCCGCTTCCCAGGGTCAGACCCATCTCAGAGGTCGGTGATGGTCGCGGGAGCTTCCACAGTCAGACCGGGTTGGCAGAGCCCTCCCCGCCTCCTGTTCCCACCTGCAGCAACCCCCACGGATTTTTCCTTTAGTTTTCTGCATACAAAGTAAAGCAGACTTTCCCACCTCCGATAACACTGAGCACTGGCTGAGATGTCAGAGGCTCTCAGGGCCCCCCTGGGCTCAGCTGTGCTGCTGTGGGCGGCGCCGTCTCCTGCCACGCCCTCTGCACCTGCTCTCATTTCCCACATCCAGTTCTGAGCCATTTCCACCTTCCTCGGAACCCTGTCTGTTCCTCGTCCTGCGATTACCGTATCACCAACATTCTTTCTAGCAACTCTGTCGCAAGACTTATAATAAAAAGAAAACAGCTGTGAAGGTGGTACTTTTGTCTACACAGCAGCCCTTTGTGGGTTCTTTGACTTGAGAACAGTTCAGAGATACTGTGTCCCTGTTAGCCTTTCGGGCTGGCTTCACAGAGATTTACTTAAGGACTGTGTTGGGGCCAGCACTGTGGCACAGCGGGTTAACCTGCCACTTGCGACACTGGCATCTCATAAGATCGCCAGATGGAGTCCCGGCTGCTCCACTTCCCTTCCAGCTCCCTGCTAATGCAGCTGAGGAACCAGCAGAAGACGGCCCAAGTGCCTGGGCCCTGTCACCCATGTGGGAGACCAGGGTAGAGTTCTGGGGTCCTGGCTTCAGCCTGGCCCAGCCCCAGCCATTGCAGTCATCTGGAAAAATGGAAGATCTCTCTCTCTCTCTCTCTCTCTCTCTGTGTATCCCTCTCTCTGTAACTCTGCCTATAAATAAATAATTTTTTAAAACAAAATAAGGATATGTATCACCAAACTGTTAGATATTCATTGATTTTACTTTTTTTTTTTATTCAAGGATGATTTCAGGCGCTATCGGGGAGCCATTGCACGCAAGAGAATTCGCCTAGGCAGGTAAGGGAAGTAAAAGAGCAAGGGTGCTGTGGATTCTCCTGCATCTGAGGAACCGCACAAGGAAAAGCCCCTCTCGGGGTCTCCGCTCCCCTCCGTGTGAGTAGAGAAGGCCATGCTGTTTCCTGGCCGTGCCGGCTGCGCACTGACCAGGACGGCGGTTCTTCCTGACCGCTTTCTGCAGACAGAGCAGCTTTTATTTAAACTGCCGATTTCAGTTCCAGAAAGTATCAAGGTGGTGGCTGTGCATTAAACGGAGGGACGGAAACTGCTATTTAACATTTCATTTTTTTTTTCCAGAAAATACGTAATTATGCACAAAGAAGAGGTTCCACATTGCACCCACTGGGATCTAAGCAAGCAGGTAACCCTCTGAGCTGTGGCTCACGCGGTGTAAAAGCCCTGTCTCCACCAACGCAGAAACCCACTTGTTGAGCTGATGTGGGTTGTGTCTACACAGGTTAGGTGAAAAGGGGGATTCTATCACCAGGCTTTTCAGAATGACACTAAAGCAAGCCATTCATAACTGGTGCCCAGCCAGTTGTCTCTGTCTTGTTAGACTTCCAGTATGGTTCCCAGACGACCTGATGGCCTGCTCTCAGATTTGTCCAAGCAGCGTGGGGCACAGTTGACCTGCTGTTCTCCTGTGACCTGTGCTGAGTGACACCCACAAGCTTGCAGTTTATAAAACAACGTAGCAATAGTCATTCCAGTGTTTTGACTGTTAAGAATCCAAATTTACTTGTTACACATTGGTTCTGACGGTGCTTCAAAAAGTTCGTGGAAAATGGCATTAAAGTGGGGCAGGCGTTGTGCAGCAAGTTAAAGCACTGCTCGGGACGTCCACTTCTCACATCATAGTGCCTGGGCTTGAATCCCGCCTCCGCTTCCGATCCAGCTCCCTGCTGGTGTGCGCCCTAGGAGGCAGCAGGCAATGGCCCAAGCACTTGGGTCCCTGCCACTCGTGTGGGAGACTTGGGTGGAGTTCCTGGCTGCTGGCTTCAGCCTTGCCTGGCCCTGGCTGTTGCAGGCATTTGAGGAATGAACCCGTGAATGGCAGATCTTTCGCTCTCTCTCTCTCTCTCTCTCTCTCTCTCTCTCTGTCACACACACACACACATGCACGCACTCACGCACACACACACGCACGCACACACATATATCTTTTTGTCTTGATCTTTCCAATAATAGCTTTTTTAATAAAGAAGTTTATTTTGGTGCAAAAAAATGGAAATTTATGCACAAGGTTTTTTTTTTTGCAGAAATTCTTTTTTTTCCCAACTTTTATTTAATAAATATAATTTCCAAAGTACAACTTTTGGATTATAGCAGCTTTTCCCCCCATAACCTCCCTTGCACAAGTTTTTTGCAGTATGCATGTCCATGGACTTTCTGAAGAACCTACATGTGCTTGGATTTCGATATTTTTTTTGCACCAAAATAATCGTATGCTTTAATTCATTTTCCCATGAACTTTTGGCAGTGCTGTCCTATAAGTCATACTGCCTTCACTCAGGATACCAATTAAAGTGATAGGAAGTTGCTAGGCGTGGGGTTACCGTGTCTGGATTCTGCATTTAGAGTCTGAGATAGAAGCAGTGAGTAGCTGTCGTTTGGTACTATGTGTCACAGTGCTGCGTTGGCTCAACATAACCTCCCCAGCAGTGCCCATTCTCTAAGCACAGAGTCTCTGATCACATAGGGAGTATCTGCACTGAACACACACTTTTCAACTACCTGTCTCAGGCAGCGCTCAGCAGCGGCAATGTGGAGGCGCTCAGAAGGCTGGCAGCCAAAAGCGGCTGGGAGGTGACCAGCGCTGCGGAGAAGGTAGGAGGTGGGCAGGTGTTGCATATCCCCTGTCCCTGCCAGGTGAAGCTGTGCTGGCGGATGGTGCTGGTGGCCCCGCCGCATCTGCTGTTGCTCCCGAAACAGCAAGAACCTCAGGAAACCGCCCCCAGCCCCTCTCTCTCCACACGGCCACTCGGGCTCCTGCAGATGCATCTGGCACGTGCCTGCCCCTGGGCAGCCCCTGCTCCTCACGTCCACCTTCCCCAGCCCCTCCTGGTCTCAAGATCCAGAGCAGACGCTTGTCCCTAGGGCCATTCCCAACCTGACGGCCGTCTCCCTCTGCAGCTCCTTCGGTCACAACCTCCTGAAATTAATCTGGCAGTTAATTAGGCATCACCTGTGACGTTTCTGCCTCGTCAGTCCTGAGCCTTCCGTGGCCCCTGAGCTGTCTGCTGTCTGCGCGGGGTCTGTTTTCCCTGGCCTGATGTCGTCTCTACCTCTTAATAATGTCCAGCCTGCCGTGTGTGTCACCAGCCACCGGGCCCCTCCACACTTGGATTTGTCTCTAGCTTCGGAGGCCTGTCAGGAGTCCCTTGAGGCAGATGGCACTGTCGGCTCTCAGAGGGCCCTTTGCTCCCCCACTGTGCTCGGGGGCATGGTGGTGCTGGCTTCAGGCCTCTGCTCCATGTGCGCTGTTTGCTGTCAACAGTGAAGGGTGACCCCTGACCTGGGGTGGCCAGGTGTCCTGATTGTCTGGGGACAGACCTGGCTCACACGTGATGTGTCATCACATCCTAATTATTAACCGTGCTGCAGTCTGGTGGATACGCCGTGCCATCACCTTCCCCAGAATCCAGTGACTGCAGGTGCCTCTCCACGCCCTGGCTTGGACCTCCTCCGAGTGCTCTGCATTTGGCTGTTTGCTCTTGTTACCACGTTGTCCCCACGACTACGTCTTCCCAGGGTCTTCCTCATCCCTTTCCGCCCAGCAAGGCCCAGTGTCCCCCGTGCTTCTCACAGGCCTAGCACAGTTGAGGTGTATGTTCCTAGTGTCACTCAGGCACAGCACTTTAGTGCTTGGTCTGTTGTGCTAATGTGAGAGCTGCCTCTTGCTGGCATCTCAGCACTCAGCAACAGCCGTGGGATGAGCTGATTCACATCTAGGATGAAGCCAAAGGCCACGTTCAGTGGCATTCAGGAGGCTATGGCCAGAAACAAACCCAGACTCATCAACTTGCTAGTGTCCTAGGAAAATCCTCATTGATTAATTCTGCATTTCTGTGTGGAAAGTTATTAGAGAACATTGTGTAATTTTAAGGACTCTTAAGTTATTAGGGAATACTGTATACCTTTAGGAATTCTTATCTCGGTTGAATTTGAATCTTTTTAAAAAGTACAACCAAGGGGCCAGCGCCATGGTGCACTAGGTTAGTCCTCCGCCTGCGGTGCCAGCATCCCATATGGGTGCTGGTTCTAGTCCCAGTTGCTTCTCTTCCAGTCCAGCTCTGTGCTGTGGCCCGGGAAGGCAGTGGAGGATGGCCCCAGGTGCTTGGGCACCTGCACCCCATGGGAGACCAGGAGGAGGCACCTGGCTCCTGGCTTCGGATTGGCATAGCTCCATCCGTTGTGGCCATTTGGAGAGTGAACCAGCGGAAGGAAGACCTTTCTCTCTCTCTCTCTCTCTCTCTCTCTCTCACTGTCTGTAACTCTACCTCTCAAATAAGTAAATAAAATCTTAAAAAAAAAGTACAATCAAATAAGATTAAAATGTTTTTCTGAGTTTTTCTTTTTCTCTACTAGTTTTACACTTTTATTAATTTTTTATTTTTAATTTATTTATTTGTTTGAAAGTCAGAGTTACAGAAAGTGGGAGACAGAGACAGAGCTCTCCCATCTGCTGGTTCACTCCCCAGATGGCTGCAATGGGCAAGACTGGGCCAGACTGAAGCCAGTCGTGCACCCAGCACTGTGGCCAGCACTAGGCAAGGGGAGCGAGCTCTGGAGGGCGGAACTGCACGGGGCTCCTGAGCTTTGGCTCCAGCACAGGAAGCAGGAGTGTGTCTGCCCCCCGGGGAGCAGCTCCTGGAGACGGGCTGACTCATTCCCAGGGCTGCAGTAACGGAGCTCCCCACACTGGGTGGGCTCAGCCTTAGGAATCCACTTGTCTGGGAGCTGGGAGTCTGAGAGCAAGGGTGTCAGCGGAGTTGGGTTCTTCCCAGGGGACAAGGAGACTGTTCTGAGCCTTGCCCCCGCTGCAGGTGGCTGCTGGCCCCGCAACTCTGGCATCAGTTCACTGCACTCTCGCTGTACCTGTGTCCTTGGCCTTCACTGATGTGGACCCCAGCTGCTGGCGTACGGCCTCAACCTGATGAGCGGGCAAGACCCTATTTCCTTCCCAAGTCCATTCTTCGGTAGCGGCAGTGTTAAGCCTTCAACAGATGAATTTGCAGGGCCCAGGGCACAACATGACTCTAAACAAGTGCTCAGCCCAGCAGCACAGCCTCCCCTACACTGGGCCCACGCTGCTCCAAGGCCACCATGTGAGCAGCTGTGGGGTTCACTCTGGGCAGCTGTCCTTGGCTAGTCTGAGGCTGCTGAGCCCTGGCAGGCTGGCCAAGAGCCTTGGTCAGGGGCCTCGCCCTGCATTGACACCAGTGAGGCTCCTCCCATGCCCCTGCACTGGGAGCAGAGGCGGGCACCTCCATGCCCATGTCCGGCTGGTAGCGTGATCCCAGAGACCACCAAGCCCTGATGTTCTTGTGTCTGGTCCGTGCCCATGCTGGGTCATGTCTTCCTTTGCAGGCTTGGCCTCAGGGTGAACTGGAGAAGTGTCCGCATAAGCCAGCAGTCCCTTTTACTCCCCCTAAGCTGCTTCCTGTCTGCTCCTCATGTCGTCACATGTGTTGACGAGGGCAGGGCTCTCCCGTGCAGCCCAACTCTGCCTTCTGCTTGAGTCCCGCAGGAGTCCTGACCCTGTGCTTGTCTGTCCACACCTTGCTGCCACAGCAGTGGCTGTGAGATGGCAGAGTTCACCACTAACTTTAAGGTACTCTCCAAGAGATGGGAGAAGTGGGCAGGATGCAGCGTGCTGAGACCCGAACAGGCATCTCTGATTATTGTCAGAGAGGCAGGAGAAGCAAAGCTCAGAGTGACAAGGGATGCGTGAAAGTTTAAGTCCGTGTCAGGCGGCTCCTCTTAGCTAAGGAATCTCACGCACTAGAAGCCCTGGAGTCAGCCTCCAGAAACACGAACCCTCGTGACTCAGTCATGAGACAGTGCTTTGTGCTGGGAGAGCTGGCTGCTTCAGCGGTTGAGTCAGTTGCAGAGGAGGCTGGCTGGCTTCCTGGGAGATTCACCTGCCACCCAAGACAACGTCCTGAACCTCAGCCTGGCGCCCAGGGCTCTGGGGGTGTCAGAACTCTACCAGGAAGTCCAGCAGCCTGGTGATATTTTCTGTTATTCCTGGATAAAGGCAGGGAGGCGGCACCAAGACAAGAGGGAGAAAGGTTTATTCCTTAGTCTTCCCATGCTGCACAACTGTCCAGCTACTGTGTGGGGCCACCTCTAGAATCCAAGTTCTTACAGTGAAATTGTTTGGCTTCACTTTCCTCCAGGTACAAAGGTGCCTTGCTGGTGGCTTCTACAGCTACGTACAGTGCGTGCTTTGTAAAGTAGAACCTCGATGTTGCCTTCATACCAGTGTGCCCCTCATAATGTGATGTTCCTTGCTCCCTTTGAGATAAAAATATACACCCTGGAAGAGCAGGATGTTCTGTCCATCTGGGTGGAGAAGCGTGTGGAGAGCCCTGCGCACCTGGCCTACCATCTGCTGTCTGACTTCACGAGGCGACCTTTGTGGGACCCGCATTATGTGTAAGGACAAGGGCCAAAGCCTTCCCGAATCAGCCCCGCCGTCACGTAGGAGACACCCTCTGCAGGGCGGCCCGCCTCCGCTGCCCGGTGTGGGACCTGTTGTTTGATTGATCAGAGAGCATGTGCTGCCCCAAACACTGCCTCGGGCGATGTTAAGAGACACACTGCTAAAATTACTGTACTCCTTGACTTACCCTCCGCTGCACGTTGGCTTGCGTCACCCACATCTGTTGGAATCCTCCCAGAAACTTCGAGGTCAGTGCTGTTCCCACCGAGCTGGAGAGCGTGATGTGACAGAACCTGAGTGGCACCCAGGGCCACCAGGCTGAGTCCTACCATACTGTGATGTACAGCCTGCACTCTGGGGGACGTGACCACCCAGTGGCAGCACCTTTGTCTGCAGAATGGCACCCCCGGGGAGAAGCCCCGCTGGGTCCTCCCTGCCCACCCTGTGTGACAGTGTGTGCTCTTGTGCACCTGTGTGTCTCACGCTTCCTCCTCCTGACTCTGGCCTCCCTGCGGCAGGCCCTGCTGCGCTCCCTCATTTCCTGGAATTCCTATCTGGTTTTGCCCTCTGTGTTGGTGGGGATTCAACCAACTACAGATCACAAAACATTCAGGGGAAAAATTGCATCTGTTCTGAACATGTACAGACTTTTTTCCTTGGTGTTGTTTCCTAACAATGCAGTTAACAATGACTGAGATAGCGTTTGCATAGCAGCGGGTGTCCTCAGTCACCTAGGGGTGACTTAAGGTTTATGGGAGCATGCAGATATTCTATGAGACACTACAGGACATGAGCATTGTTGGATTCTGGTATCCACAGGGGGTTGGAGCCCCCTCCCTCCGTGGATGCTGAGGGACGGCCATACAGAGTTGAGTGCCTTGTCACCCACCCTGGCAGTGGGAGGTGGCACTCAGACCCAACCCTCTCTGCTCTTAGCACCTTGCAGGGCCTCACAAGGGAAAGTTTGGTCACAGGGCTCCTCTGACATTAAGCTCCACTCTGTTTCTCAATCTAGACAAAGGAGCAGTTCATCCTTAAAATTCCTAAGACTCTCTGTGATGAATGCCACGTGATAGACGATATTCAACCCCAGTAAGGTGAAAAGGTGTCCCTGGGGTCAGGCACTGCGTTTGTGTAGATGGCAGAACACCACACTCTGGCCAATGCCTCCATAACCAAACGTTCCCAGAGGAGTGGACGCACTTCTCAGTTTCCTTCATCCATATTTATAGGTATTTTATAAGCACAAAGCTTGTAAGAACAGTGCTTAACCTTTGCTATGAGTTCTTGTGAAATGTTGCACATTTCACACCTGTCATGGGTGTTCTGTGTGTCACCTGATGTTCCAGCTCAAATGAACTTGAATGAAAGGAATGAGTGAACTGATTCTGATGGGAGCTAACTTCCTTGGGCGCCTACTGTGATTCAGCATTGGCCAACTGTTTTCACCATAAGCCACACAGTGACCCCGTGGGTGTTACCAGCCACACACTGCAGATGAGAGTAAGTGACCTGCCTGAAAGGTGACAGGCGCACGGGGACAGGTCTGGGAGTCCCAAGCAAGCTGTCAGCCTCCACACTTTCTTTTCCAACTGGTCCCCTTCCTGTACCTGGTTGTCCTTCTTGGGGTCATCCCTCTAATCCCCCATCTTCAGTAAGTTTACTTGAGCTAGGAAAAATAATTTTATGGAAAAGACTCATGCCTTGCTCTGAAGTCTTGAGGGCTGTGACCTGGAGTTGGTTGGCCAACCTCCATCACATGCAGAATTCTTCCTTCTGACCAAACAGCTCATGTGAAGGGGACTTTGGGCAGTGATGCTGGTTGGGGAGGGTTTGGATGAGCTGCAGGGGACAGCTCCGACAGTGATAATGCGATCAATTAAGCAAAGAAGCGAAGTGAGTGGCACACTCCACCTTTCTGTCCACCAGGTCCTGTGAAGTGATAGACCGGGTGAGTGAAGACACCAGATATTACCACATCACCTGTCCTGCGACCACTGGGACAAGCCCGGGACTTGGTTGTGCTTGTGTCACGAAGAAAGCCTCTCAGGACGGGGTGAGTGTGTGCAGTCCCAGTGGCACGGCCATGTCTGTAGTCTAAAATAGAGATGAAAACTTGATGTGAAAATGAGGAAGTTAGGGTGGGCTTGTAAGCCCAGTCATTAAGAGACTCCTGTGCCCCACGTGGGAGTATCTGGGTTGAATCCCCACCTCTGGCTGCTGACTCCAGCTTCCTGCTAGTGCGGACCCTGGGAGGCAGTGGCGATGGCTCAAGTGAGTGGGTTCCTGCCACCCACGCAGGAGGCCGGGTTGACTTCATACCTCCAAACCAAGGACCACTGTAGTTATCTGGGGGCGAGCCATTGGTTAGGAGTGTGTGCCCTCTCTATACTCCCTCTGCTCCTCACATAAGTAAGTTATTTAATTTTTTAAAGATTTGTTTATTTGAAAGTTACAAATAGAGAAGAGACAGAGAGATCTTCTATCTGTTGGTTCATTCCCCAAATGACTGCAATGGCCAAAGCTGGGCTGGTCTGAAGCCAGGAGCCAGGAGCTTCTTCTGGGTCTCCCATGTGGGTGCAGGGGCCCAAGACTTAGGTCCATCCTCCACTGTTTTCCCAAGCGCATTAGCAGGGAGCTGGATTGGAAGCGGAGCAATGGGGACTCGAATCTGCCCATATGGGATGCCTGCACTGCAGACAGTGGCTTAACCTGCTTCGCCACAGCATCAGCCCCAAATTACTTAATTTTTTTTTAAAAAAGGAAGTCAATATGCGGAAGTCAGTATCTTATATGATATTTGAAAATGTTTAGGGGACAGCACTGTGGCACAGCGGGTTAATGTCCTGGCCTGAAGTGCCCACATCCCATATGGGCGCCGGTTCGAGACTTGGCTGCTCCACTTCTGATCCAGCTCTCTGCTCTGTCCTGGGAAAGAAGTAGAGGATGGCCCAGGTGCTTGGGCCCCTGCACCTGCATGGGAGACCCAGAAGAGGCTCCTGGCTCCTGTTGGATCGGTGCAGCTCCGGCCGTTGTGGGCAACTGAGGAGTGAACCAGTGGATGGAAGAACTCTTTCTCTCTCTCTCTCTCTCTCTCTCTGCTCTCTCTGTGTAACTCTGACTTTCAAATAAATAAATAAATCTTTAAAAAATTGTTTAAACTAGATATATAGGTATAATTTAACAAAAAGTTAGGTCACACAGTAAGTGCCAGCTGAATACAAAGCACCAAGCAAAGATCCTGTAGTGTTTCCTTTTCCTATTTCTCTTTGTGGTTGCAAACTGATACTTAGTGAACCTTCAGCAATTCCATTACCAAGAAAAAAAAGTGAAATTAAAATCAAATCAAACACCACAAATCGGCTTAGAACTCACCGAGGCTCGGCTGTGTGGCTATCAGCCTGAGCTGTTGGTCGGAGCACCACACGTGGCTTTTCACTGTGTGGGGCCATTCAGGGCACCCCAAGTACCCCCGCACATGTGTGAGTGTTAATGTCCAGGGATGCTCAGTGCAATGTCGCTTACGTCAGATGATATCGAACATAAACCAAAGCTCTACTTAGGAATTATGGCAGATGCATTCTACAGTGTGCATTTAAAGGAGGAAGTGGTGGGTTCAGTGTTGTGGTGTAGTGGGTGAAGCCACCACCTGCAGTGCTGGCATCCCATATGAGTGCTGGTTCGAGTCCTGGGTACTCCACTTCCAACCCAGCTCCCTGCCTGGGAAAAGCAGCAGAAGAGTGCCAAAGTGCTTGGGCCCCTGCCACCCATGTGGGAGACCCAGAAGAAGCTCCTGACTCCTGGATCCTAGCTCTTGGCTCCTGGCTCCTGGCTTTGGCCTGGCCTATTGCTGGCCATTGTGGCCATCTAGACAGTAAACCAGTGGATAGAAGATCTCTCTCTGTCTATCTGTCTCTCTGTAACACTTTCAAAATTAAATGAATTTAAAAAAGATGAAGTAGCTGTCAAAACTGTAATATAAAAACACCTCCAGGCTGGTGCCGCAGCTCACTAGGCTAATCCTCTGCCTGCAGCACTGGCACACCGGGTTCTAGTCCTGGTCGGGGCGCCGGATTCTGTCCTGGTTGCCCCCCTTCCAGGCCAGCTCTCTGCTGTGGCCCGGGAGTGCAGTGGAGGATGGCCCAAGTGCTTGGGCCCTGTACCCCATGGGAGACCAGGATAAGTACCTGGCTCCTGTCTTCGGATAGGCATGGTGCGCCAGCCACATCGCGCTGGCCGCGGCGGCCATTGGAGGGTGAACCAATGGCAAAGGAAGACCTTTCTCTCTGTCTCTCTCTCTCACTATCCACTCTGCCTGTCAACAAACAAACAAACAAACAAAAAACACCTCCAGAGATATATTGTTATATTGTTAGGTGAAAAATCAAATTGTAGACCAATATGTATAAAATACTCATATTTATATAAAATCTTTAGGTTCACATTTAGTTCTGTAAGTGTCATTATTATGCAAGTTTAACAAGGTCCAGAGAGCTACAGCGGAATGCTAAGAAGACAGGTCAGCTCCAGGGTGTAGAGAAAGACTGGACCTGGTATAAGCTGTATCATTCGAGGATTCTTTAAAGTGATGGTTATTACTTTTTTGATTTTTTAATTAAAAACGGAGGTGGGGTGGGCAGGCATTTGGCCTGGCAGTTAAGACACTGTTAAGACGCCTGCGTTCAGCCTGTGGGTGCCTGGTTTGAGTCCTGGCTGCAGGTCCTGACTCCAGCTTCCTGGTGATGCAGATGCCAGGAGGCGGTGGTGATGTCTCTGCTGCCCACGTGGAGACCTGGACTGAGTTCCTGACTCCCAGCTGTGGCTGTGGCCAGGTCCAGTATCAGGCATCTGGGGAGTGAACCAGCGGAGAGGATCTCTGTCTGTCTCTTTGGGTCTCTGTCTCTCATAAAAAAAAAAAAAGTAAAAAATGAGAGGGAACTGAAATTACCCACGTTTAGGGCACAGTGACACTTCAGTGTGGGTGCTGGCCGCAGTTGTAAGGAGTTAGCCCAAGCTAGTGCAGTTCTGGGGCAGGAAGTCCCTGCTCTTGAGGGTTCCCGGGAAGAGCTTTTCCGATTCAGACGCCCCTCTGGGAGAGGAGGGTCTTCTGCTGCTTCTCTGCCCTGCTAAATAAATAGCAGGCGTTCTAGGAGTTTCGTTTCTTGCAGCATTTCTTCGTTTCTCACAAGGTTTAGAAAATGCCTGCTTCCCTTCCAGGCACGCCTACACCGTGGCGGCGAAGTCGGTCATGCTGCCGTCCGCCCCGCCATCTCCTGACCACACCAGGAGTGAAATCATATGTGCCGGCTTCCTCATCCACGCCATTGACAGCCATTCCTGCACCGTAAGCTTGATGAGACGTCTGCTCATTGATTCGCTCTTAGATAAAGGGAAACCTCGGTTTACCGGGGCTCCCCATTAATTATAATCCTGTCACTTGTGTCCACACTAGGGGAATCCTAAGATGAACCTCTCAGACCTTTTCCAGAAGGTCCCGGGGTCTTAGTCTCCGCCACCCCACCAAGATTCAGCTCCCAGCTTACGGAAGCTCCAAATCAATTATAAATTACAGTCTGGGTTTTCTTCTTGACACAGGTGTCTTACTTTAACCAGATGTCTGCTGCTAGCATCCTTCCACTTTGCTGGAAATCTGGGCGGCTGGTCCAAGTCCATTGAAGAAGCGGCAGCCTCTTGTATTAAATTCATAGAGGACGCTACTGATGGTGGGTTTCTGAGCGTGTCTTAAGGAGTCAACTGTCAGTCACCTGTCATATAATTTCTCACTTTCTATCCAAACACCCTTAGCCCTGACACTGGGGAAGTTTCGGGGTCGCACAATAACTTAGGGAAAGTGCAGTTTAGGACAAGGTTAAAAACCAAAATGCATCTCAAGTCAATGATCAGTCATTTGGATTGGCAATGAAAGAGGTTCATAATTCTGCTTTAGAACATCCACGGCTCTGCCTCTTTCAAAGAGGAATGAAGCTTATCTGTTGCCATATTGCATTCTATGAAAAAGTACAAACTTAATTACAATGGTCACAAACCTTTTTTAAGTTGCAGGTATAGTGGTGTTTCTGGTGATGTGCTGTGGTTGGCCGTGCACTAATGTGTGTCATTGTTTCGTGTGCAAGAGATGCCTGTGGTCAGGCGTACCTGACAAGACATGTTACATGGTGCAGAGAAGACATTAAAACACAATGGAATCCAGTCAGTTTCAGTAATAGGAGCGACTTTGCTAGTGTCCTTAACACATGTTCGAGGTGGCTGACCCGTTTTATATCTGTCACTGCACACAGACAAAGCACCTGCAACATTGTTGCAGCCCAACTCTTCTTCCAGAGTCTTCCCGCAGCACTCCGTCCCCCAGACCCAGCATTCATTATCTGCCCCTCTGATTTGTCTCAGCAGATCAGAATCCATCACGTCAGCCTCAGCAAGACGGCTCGTGACGGCTGCAGGAGCTCCCCGTGAAGTCTAGAGCCTTCCACAGGTGAGACGTTTTGCCTCAGCTCCCCTCTCACTTCCTGCCCATCCATGCACACAGTCCAGGTCTGGTCACGATTCCTTGCATTTGCCTGTTTTGCTGTTTTCCTGTGTATGAACTTTAGACTCAGGTGCATTTCTTAAATTACTTTTGTTAAAGATTTATTTATGGGGCCAGTGCTGTGGTAAAGTCGCCGCAGTGCCGGCATGCCATATGGCTGCTGGTTCTAGTCCCAGCTTCTCCTCTTCTGATCCAGCTCTCTGCCATGGCCGGGGAAAGCAGTAGAAGATGGCCCAAGTCCTTGGGCTCCTGCACCCGTGTAGGAGACCTGGGCGAATCTCCTGGCTCCTGCCTTCGGATCAGTTCAACTCTGGCCATTGCGACCATTTGGGAGCGACCAGCGAGTGGAAGACCTCTCTCTCTGTATGCCTCTGCCTCTGCTTCTCTGTAACTCTGCTTTTCAAATAAATAATAAAAACAAAGATTGATTTATTTGAAAGGCAGAGAGAGAGAGAAAGAGAGATCTTCTGTCTGCTGGTTCGTTCCCAAATGCCTGCAAACAGCTGGGGCTGGCCCAGCCTAAAGCTAGGAGGCTGGATTCTATCTGTTTCTCCCAAATGGGAAGGCAGGGGCCCAAGTACTTGGGCCGTCTTCCACGTCTTTCCACGCACATTAGCAGAGAGCTGGATTGGAAATAGCAGCCAGAAGTGTGTTGCATGGAAGGAATGACATGTATGTACAATAAGAAGAGTAGATGTAGAAATTAAAATGATTATTTATTACATTCAGAAGGAGAGGAAAGTTTTTTGAGATATATTAACCTATTTTTAAGAGAGGAGACAAAACTGGCTGGCGCCGCGGCTCACTAGGCTAATCCCGCCGCTAGCGGCTCCGGCACACCGGTTCTAGTCCGGTCGGGGCGCCGGATTCTGTCCCGGTTGCCCCTCTTCCAGCCAGCTCTCTGCTGTGGCCAGGGAGTGCAGTGGAGGATGGCCCAGGTGCTTGGGCCCTGCACCCATGGGAGACCAGGAAAAGCACCTGGCTCCTGGCTCCTGCCATCGGATCAGCGCGGTGCGCCGGCCGCGGCGGCCATTGGAGGGTGAACCAACGGCAAAGGAAGACCTTTCTCTCTGTCTCTCTCTCTCACTGTCCACTCTGCCTGTCCAAAAATAATAAATAATAAATAAATAAAAAGAGGAGACAAAACTGAAATAAAGGGCATGCATTGCCCTAAAGCTCTGCACCCTGAAGTCTTAAACTAGGGGAAGTATAAACAGACATTCCCAAGCACTGTCTGCCTCACCTTGCTCTTCGAATTCCTATGAATTTATTTATTTTTCGGGTCTCCACGTAATCCTTTCAAGTTGTGCTTGGCCACGGTAGCTGAAACCACGGAACGCGAGATCATGGGTGAGAGTGATAGGCACAAGCGTAACAATGCATGTGGACCACCGAGCTTTCTAGAAATCGCTTTTCTGCTGAATGCTTCTAAGAAAATTCAAATGATATTTTGTTGTAAGATTTATCTGAAAGGCAGAGTTATAGAAAGAGAGGAAAGAAAGAGAAAGATACAGAGATTGGTCTTCCATCCACTGGTTCGCTCCTCAAATGGCCACAACAGTTTGGGCTGGGCTGGGCTGGGCAAAAGTCAGGAGCCAGGGCCTTCTTCCAGGTCTTCCACATGGGTGCAGGGCCCAGGAACTTGGGCCATCCTCCGCTGCTTTCCCAGGCACATTAGCAGGGAGCTGGGTCGGAAGTTCGCAGCCGGACTAGAATGGTAGCTCATGTGCATACTGGGGCAGGCGATGGCTGAACCTGCTGCACAACTGGTCCCATCGGAATGATTATTTATCTTAATTTGAACACCACTAATTTGACCAGCATCATTGACTTTCTTATTTTAAAAAAATTATTTATTTATTTAAGAGGTAAGACAGGAGAGACAGAGAAAAAGGTCTTCGATCCGCTGGTCATCCCCAAATGGCCGCAATGGCTGGAACTGAGCCATTCCGAAGCCAGGAGACAAGAGCTTCTTAGGGGTCTCCCACACAGGTGCAGTGGCCCAGGTACTTGGGCCATCTTCTACTGCTTTCCCAGGCCACAGCAGAGAGCCGGATCAGAGGAGGAGCAGCCGGAACTAGAACCAGCGCCCAGATGGGATGCCAGCGCCACAGGTGGAGGTTTAGCCCACTGTGCCACAGCACTGGCCCCAGGTTCATCTGCTTTCTGTGGATTAATGAAAGGGACCTGGATATAGTTTTGAAAATGGAATAAATGCATAACATATACCTGCATTCTTCAGTGTGGTAGCCACCAGCCACATCTGCTATTTAAGTTAAAATTAGGGGCCGGCACTGGGGGCAGGTCCTGTGTGTTTCCCGTGTTCACCCCTCTGTCCCAGTCCCTTCCACGCCTTCTGTTC